CTAGAGATGTCGTCGGCAACTGAAGATTCCCAACTCATGTGCTTAATTGGGCATAGTATGGACCAGTTGTCCGTCCGCTACGAGCAAGAGCTGCAACGTGTGAAGGAACTGCAGGTTCAGTACAACACACTGAAGCAGCAAAATATGCAGTGTGAAGAGTGTATTCAAGAACAAATAAAGAACAAGAAAAGGCTGGATCGGATCTTAGGACAGAGTCAGTTAACTCTGTTGGGAACTATTGAAAAGTTGCAGAAACGCGAAAATGAATGTGGGCAAAGTGTCAATATTAGCCAGGAACTTGAAAAAAAGGATGAGCAACTTGCTCGGGTTGGGGCCGAATTAATTCAACTATGCAGTCAAAAACGTATCCTAGAAGAGCACATCACCGGCGAAAAAGAATGCTTATTTAGTCAGCGCCAGAAGTTAAAGGCACAGCAAATGATCATTCAGTCTCAACAAGATCAATTAGCCGAGCAGCGTCTGAGACTAAACGACGCCCAACAGCAGCTACAGTGCTTAATCCAAATGATAAGCGCTAAATTTGACAACGACACAACTTCATCACCTACCAACGAAAATCGCCTGAAGCAAGTGGAAAATATGCTAATATGCCTAATAGACAGAATGCGCAACCAGGATAAGAGAAATAAGTGTGAAATTCAGCTGAACACAGCTGAAAACAGCCGCTCCCAGACGAGTAGTCAGCTCATGATTATGTCGACTGAAAAGCTTTATGAGCAAGAGCATAATGCTGCAAACACAAATCTATCTCTTAAATTTGGAACTGAAGAAACGATGGTACAGCATGGAGGGCAAACGCAGCTGTGCCAACAACTGGAAGTCGGACGGCAAGAGCTTTGCAAGCAGAAACATGAGAAGGCGCACGTTGAACAGGAGCTAAAGGCTGCCAATGAGAACCAAAGAAGTTTGGAACACAGGTTAAAGGAAAAAACGGAGCTGCTTCAAAAAAGAGAGTCCACCAGCCAAGCGCTCCAAGAGCAGATTATGATGCAAACACAGCAGTTAGAAAAAGGACAACGGGAACTTAATGATTCGCAGCGAAAACTGAAAGCGGCACAACAGCAGTTGCATATGCAAGAATCACTAATATCACATGTCAACAAACTGGAGAATTTAATAAAAGAAGAACAGCGGAAATATTTGAGCCTGGAACAGGAGCATATACAGCAGATGGAGTGCAAGCGAAATATCGAGAAAGAATTTGAAGCGATTCAATGCACGCTTGCAAAAAGGGAGGAGGAACTGGAGAAGAACAAAGCACAGTTGGACTCAAGTACCAAGCGCTTGGAGAAAATAGCCATCAAACTAGGCGAACAGCAAGCAGTTTTATCCAAAACACAACGCGAAACAGCGCAGTCCAAACGAACACAGAACGAGCAAGCAGAGCTAATCACAGTACTGCAACGTGAGAAGGAAAGTCTGCTGCTGGAATTGCGAAAGAACAAGGAGCGTACAAACCGATCGGAGGAAAAACAGGCTAGCTTGGAACAGCAACGTGTTTTGGCGGAGACGGCACGAGTTGCTACTTATGAACGAATGATAAAACTCGAGAGAGAGTGTAAGAAAACGAACATCAATACGATACGCGACCTACAGCTTCAGCTGAAAGACGTTGAGAAGGAAAAAGATGGGCTGTTTCTTGAAGTTGGCGGCCTCAACTTGGAGATTGTGCAGCAGCAGAGGCGCACAGCAGAGTTAAGTGCCCAGCTACAACAAGCCAACGAGCACATAGACGCAATGCGTACCTCAATGCGGGTCAAGGAAAACAATGCTTGCAATGCTCAACAATTGGAGATGATAGAGCGTGCATATATGCAGCAGCTAGCGGACGCGCGCCAGGAGCTCAAGGATCAGCGTCTTGAGATGGAGGGTAAATTAGAAAAGATGAAAACCAAAATGGTAAGTTGGGTGCATTGCTTAATCTAGGTATTTGCTTTATGTTGGCTAACAACACTTTCGCTATTTACAATTGCTACCATCTTGGCAGGCTACCCGTTTTCTGCGACACTAACTCAAAGCCTAAAGTGACGCTGACAAAAAGATCTGCCGTTATAAGCATTAGAGCTTTTCTTTCCTACCTGAATATCTTACCTTAGCTGCAGACTTTGTGATTAGCTTCGGCGTATTAAGTTCGTTCCTTATGAAAATTTTCAATTGTGTATAAATACAAAATGTATCCAAATACCTGACTAGAAGATACCCTGAGCTCTGAGTCAAGCGTCTTAATACGACAGGTGACTCGTCGTTTCTTAATGTTTTGGCGAAGAAAGTCGAGACCGCAGACCAAAGCACAGATTCACATCCCCATGCCGAAAGTTGCCATGGGTTTGGGTTGTCCGAGATAGGAGAGACGCAGCACCATATTGGGGTCGCCGTTCAGTAGCGGGGATGAAGTAATTCCTGGGAATCAGGTCTAGATGCTGTTGCGGTTCACATTCCTTAAACCGTTTATCATAAGCGTCGTCGACTATCCTGATAAGCTCGGGGTTACTCGGCTGAATTTCGCACACCGGCTGATTGCTCGCAAAAGGTTGTCGTGGTCGTCGGGTTCAATTTGTTACGCTCACTATCTGGTTTTGATATGCCTCCACAATGTATTCGGGAAGTTTGATGAACATCTTGTTTCCGGCTAGTAGGTTCTAGAACAAGTGAATTGTGTCAACAATATTGAGTTGACTACTTTTCGCAACTTAGGAAGTTCAGTGACTTAGTGTCTTGGAATTTAGGACGATTTCTTAATTGTTTACTTCAACCAGCTGGGCCTAGGTGATGTTAATTTTCTCCAATTAAATAGCGACTTGAGTGCCGGCGATCTATCCTATGATGCATGTTTATAGCGGGCAACAGGTCTCGTAAATGTCGTATCCACTGCCTAGGGCTTTTACATATGGGAATATGGAAACATATCCTTTATTTACATGGTCACGTCCCGTCTTTCATTTGTGCGTAGGCCAAACAATTTGCTGTTTGTCTTACGGAATGGTATCCGCCTAATACTAGTACGTCGCCGACCAAGATCGGTAAATAGTCTGATCGTGAGTAATCCGTGATACGCGTTGTCACTGTAGCAAGTAGGCTGTTATCAAGAGGAAACTAAAATTTTAAAAAATTGTATCGTAAGTCTAAGATTTCTCTTAAGCTATAAATATAGAAAACATTCATTGATTCATCCTCTTTAATAAGAACTGTTATCCCTAAGTCTTTTTCCACCTTTTCTTGTGTGCTTAATGGAGTAAGTTTGTTACCTAGCCTCAACGGGTTTGGGGCAGCATAGTTAGGTCGTGCCAATTGACTACACAAGATTCCTGGCGCAAAGTTCCGTAACTTAATAAAATCTACTTGCTTAATTAGTTTAATTATATTATATTTAACAATTTTGTACAAGCTGATTCATATTGTCATTATGAAAGCTGATTCATAACAAAAATACAATATAAAAAAAAAAGGGAATTTCATACGTAAAGGAGAGAAACTTCGAATTTATGTTGTAATCATCACACAGGATCCGAAACGTTTCATGCAAGGCATAGTTAATAAAAAACAACATTTCGGACATAAAGGTGTAAGAGCAGTTTATTTGGCTATTGTGAACTCAGTGTAGTCGATTTTGCTCGCGATTACGATTAATTAAAGAGTGTCTATTAATCATCAGAAGTCTACTGGAGTATGATGGAAGTGGAGCACCAAGAATTGTTTCTCTACAGATTCAATTCTCTTGTGATGGCTTTAACTATTTGATCTGTATTTTAACCGCCGGAAGAATAACAGGGTTAGCAGGCAGAGTCATTTACAATGCAGTTTTCAAATCTCCAAATTTCTTGACTATTCTTCTGCGCCCGGCTCTCCAAACTTGTTGGAAAAAGTTTTCCTTTCTGCTGACTATTGTAGCACCAGCCACCTGATGGACTGGAGCATTCAGTTTGTCAGCTTTCAGAGTGAATAGTTTCTGGATGCAGAGGTCGATCAATTTGGAACACGATTACACGATTATTTGGAACATCGATAAACAGAAACTGCGTCGTCTTACCTCGCCGTTAATGTTTATTCTTCTGTCCAGCTTAGCTCTTAATTATAAGCAGAAGAGCCAAATGCGAGGATATGATGCCTACGAAACTTAAATTTATAGGGTGTGATGAGGAGACTTCGAATAGCGATTTAAATAATTTAGTCGACTGCTTTACGAATAGAATATTGAATTGCCTGTGGCCTGTGGATTGAGCGGTCTGTCTGTTAAACCTCTGAAAATATTGAACATTTTGATTGGAAAGTAGTTGGTTCTCTGACGTCGCAACTAATGTTGAGGCGCTACTAAGAGGAGTTGGTAATAAGATTGGAGTCCAAATATACTTCTTGACTTTGTACTCTTATATTATTAAATGTTCTGGAAGAACTTTACAATCTTTAAAACAGCTGTCTGTTCTAAAGGTTAGTGAGTAAGTTGGAGCCGTCGCTCACTATGAAGAACAAATACAGCAAACGATTCGCAAAAAGGGACATGGGCCTTGTAGACACAGGGGTTTGACCATAGCTTGCTGAATTGCAGACAGGCGCTGGTATACGCAAATATAAATAGTAAGTCTCTAGCTTTTATAGTTTTGATATCGACTCTTATTGGCTCAGCTCTTCGTCCTAATCAATATTATATATGCTTATAGTTTCCTACTACCTGTCAGACACATTTGCACACAAAATTACCCTTTTTCTCACTTTTATGTGTATTTCTGTATGTATGTATTGAATGAAGGTGAAATATTTTTAAAGAGTGCGTGGCGTTGGGTTCAGGGTATCTTGTAGTCGGGCACTCCCGACTGGATCACTCTTACTTGTTTTGCTTGAATTGATGTGATACAGTTGTTAAATACGGTTTCGACAGGAGCTGCTTATTCGATTTCTGTGTGTTACACTTGCTACACCTTGCTCATTGCTAATTGCTCAACCTGAAGCTAGTCTTTTCACTACAATGTAAACAATATCATCAATTTTATTTAGTATTCCATGATTATTTTGGTATTTTTAAAAATATTGGGTTCATGAGCTGTCTTTTGCCTCTCGTCTTCTTATACCCATTAAAAATAGGTAAAAGGGGTATAATGTATTTCTGTTTAGCTCTGTGCGCTCGTGTTGTTAGTGCTGCTTTAAGAGATCGAGCAGTCATCAGAACAGAGTAATACCAGTAGGTACAATGTTTCTTTTGTCATTCTTCACATACCTATACGAATAAACAAATAAGTAGATTAATTTGATTTTAAGCAATGGTATTTAAAGCAAATTTTCTCCGTTTCCTCTTCTCTTCCTACACCACCAACTATATCACTTACTATCACTACTTCGCAAACATCTTAAAAAAAAAACGCGAATTACTAAAACTGAAAGTCCAAAACTCTTGTATCGTTAGATTTGCATCAGCTGGGCAAATCTGAGGAACACACACAAACATATGCAAACGAAAAGTTAACTTCTCCAGAAGGAACGGACCATTTGCGTAATGGTGGGCGCTGCACTCTTACCTTTATAAAATTAATGATTATGTTGGTGCTGCTTCTGGGGGCAACCTATAAGATACTTTTAAGCAACAATGTTGTTATTAATTTAGAATCTCGAAAGCCAACTGAGTTTTAGGTGCAAAAGCGCTACTGCCAATTTGTTTTAACTGTTATTAGAATATTCGCGTATTATTTAAGGCTTAATAAATATTTTGTGAGTTACGTGTCTAGTTTATAATTCAAGTGTAAATAAACGATGCTTAATAAATCCATTTGTCCATATGTCGGTAACGTCACAAGAGGATCTTTGGACCTCACACTCGAATATCGAATGCATTAGGTATCTGGCTTTGCGCCTTTTAATCTGAGTTTCACGCTATTGCAGTTTGTTCAGATTTAATCTTTAAAGAGGAACCATAATAATTATCTTCACGGATAGTCAAGCTAAAATTCAGGGTCTTCCAAGGGTCCTTACTAAGGATAACCTTGAAGCGTGTGACAGACTACTGGAACTTTCTCTGGAAGCTCTTTTGCTGGGTCCCTAGTCGCTCCGCAATCTTCTGTCTTTCTGTGGAATTCCAGGGTCCTCTTATTTATAGATGGCATCTTATTTATAGAAGAAATATTTTACTCTCTGATCTCTATAGATCTAAAAATTTTCGTCTATCGATTGGGCCCCACAAAGTCAAATATCATATCCGCATCATGCGTTCTCCCTAACGAAGAGGGCAGATAAGAAACTATGCGAAATGTCTGTGAACGTAAATGAGTTTGTCTACCCAATTAAGATCGGAGCTTCCTCACCAAGAGAGCACTGCGCTTCCCTGTGTCGTTCCACACCCACCCCCGTCTCTTATGAGGTTCCATCATCAATATCATTAATATTATTGTCGTATCAAGAATGCCACAACGACAAAGTGGATTATTAACAATGTCATTAACATTTTCGTATATTTTTTCGTTTTATATTTCGTTTTTTTTTTTGCTAAACCCTCAATTCTTACCGTTCACTGCTCAACACTAACCCCCACTATGCTGTTATATCCCAAAACACAACCTGACACATATAGCGCACATTGTGCACGGCGGAAGTGACCCGAATTAAAGAGAAGCATGAGCGCGATGTGGCTACCAACAAGGTTGAACTGGAAAAGCTCACTGTTCAGGTATGTTGACACACAACCTAACCAATATATAAAAGTATGTGCCTCTAATAGAAACCATCCCAATTTATGATTTGAAAGTGTGGAATAATTTTTCGAATTTCATAATTTAAAAAATGGTCTGTACTTTACAGAACGCTAAGTATGACGAACATACGCGAAACCTATCTGTTCAGATTATGCGCCTCAATGAAAAGATTTTAGAGCAGCAAAAGCAAATTGACATTCTCAGAACCAACCAGCGGCATTTTCAGGACGACGTCCGGAAAACGACGGTAATCGCGGCTGTCGACGACAGTCAGCCCTTTAAGCGGCCAAGTGCGCCACTTGCTAATTTTGGTAGCAGTCTTTCAATGGAAGATGAGGAGGGGGAGGTATTTAATAACACCAACCTTACAGAACTGAAGCTGGGCAGAGTGCCGAACATGACGTACGTTAATTGCTTATTTATACAATATTATTTCCCGCTAATAGTTTATATTTGCTCCTAATTGCTAACAAAGCGCTGAAGAATTGCAATATCGCAATTCGTTGCAACCACCGCATTTGAAGAGCGCCTATGCGGTGCAATATGACTTGGGCATCCAAGACGATATCAGTAAGTATTTATAGCCACGACGGCCAAGAACAAGCTGCGAATTTGTAAGGTGTGTCCAGCAGATTATTCCCTGAAATGGGTAAAAGGATTATAATGGAATTGTTCAAATGTATGTAGAAGGCAAAATAAGCCATATCTGACGTATTGATCCAAATCAGGCAGATTAGGTCAAGTCCGATCTTAAAAACTATATATGATATAGTCGTTACCATTCCGCGTATTCATGAAATCGATTGGACCTGATATCAATATTATATTTTTTGAGCACATCTCGATGCTTATGAGACTCCAAATTTAGTATATATCCATAATACTCTACTTATGTCATACTTTTCACTCTTGTTCTGCGTTGTGGTTGTCATTTTTCCTGTATAGTTTTTTTCTCGATTACTATAATATCTGTAACCTCCCACAGAGCGGTCCACATAGCCTAGCCAGAACGAGTGCATTATTAAGTACTACGGAACGCAATGGTGTCGGTACGGAAATATTACACGATACTTGTGACAACATTAGTACTGCAAATGGAACCCAAATGGACTAAAAGGATCTTTGCAATACGCTCCACATAGAAACCAGTGGCATAGTTGGTCTAATTTGGGAACACTGTCTACCACGCGGCGAGGTAAGCAGCTGTTATGGGTCATCTCTTTTTGTTGTTAGCTTTATAAATTGTTGTATTATTATTTTTTTTTTTCATATATACCCTCTATATATTGTGTATGTTATAAAAACAATTTGTTTCAACTTGCAAAGCAGGGCAAAACGTGCCGACATTTGGATACCATACGGAATCATAGTGCAATATGCGAACAGCATAACAGAAACCAATTTGAATTTCAATTTTATCTTATAGCCCAAACACACATACAACATAAACAATGGAAAATGTCTCCACTTGCGAGCAACGGCATCCCCATCCATGGCCCATTCTTCGGTGTTATGGACGCTGCGTCCGTTATAAGCGCCGCTTATGGCACCGCCAAATCTGGTAACGATATTGCCGCCAGGTCAGTGACGCGCCTTGAACTCATCATGAAATCCATTATTCCAGCGGCCATGCAGTTTATTTGTCGGCATGATCCTGATTCTCAGCTTCACTGGGGTGTTGGGTCTTTATGGCTTTGTTGTGGCCATTTACCTATAAACGAAATAAATTAATCAATTTAATAAAAATTACACAATAAGGTGACAAAGAGCGCAGCAACATACAACAACAACTGAAAGTAAAAAGTGTATAAAATTAAAAACAATCCAACGAAAACAAATCTAAAAATGTGTTTTGGTGGCAACTCTGGTGGAGGTTTGTGTATAACAGAAACGTAAAAATAATGACTTCAATTGATGAGTCTGCCGCTTAGTGTTGTCATATTGTGGTGCATTATAGTGTAGGTATAACAAAAAAAGCAACGAACATTTATAATTGTTTAGTCTACTTTTTAGTTTAGTTTATAGTTTCCATTTAAATCAATTTCACACGCTAATTAAATTTATACAAAAAGTTTCTATCAATTATCAAATTGGTTTTTGGATCTTCACAAAACATGTGATTTTTGTATTTGACTATTATTAGTATTATTAAATATTGTTTATAGTTTATATAAAGAATGCAGTTGACTGTGAATACAGCTTTCCTTATATTTAAAGAAAATTAAAAGGATCTACAATTAAAATATTGTTTTCATAACTTCTCTTTTTAGCAAAAAGATTTTTTTTGTGCGCTCTGCTTTGTATTTGTCTTTTTATACCCTTGCAGAGTGTATTATAATTTTGTCGTGAAATGTGTAACGCATAGAAGAAGACATCTCCGACCCCATAAAGTATATATATTCATGATCAGTATCAACAGCCGAATCGATATAGCCATGTCCGTCTGTCGGTCTCTATGGGAACTAGTCTCTCAGTTTTAAAGCTATCTTTATGAAACTGCAGAAGTGCCTCTTTCTGTTGCACGCAATACATACGTCGGAACCAGCTGGATCGGACCGATATATCATATAACTGCCATAGGAACGATCGGTCGAAAAGTAGGTTCTTGTATGAACAACTTTTTTGTTTATCAAGATATATTGACCAAACTCTGCATTAATTAGTTTTCCTATACTCTTCGTATATAAAATCCTTTCAACATCGGATCACTATATCATTAAGATACCAAAGGAACGATTGGTCGAAAATTAAGTTTTAATATGGAAAACTTTTTGTTTTTCAAGAATCTTGACCAAACTTTACTTACTTTAATTTAATCTTAATTTTATGTTTTGTGAATTCTTTTTCTGCGCTTGCTCTAGCAGCTCTGTGGGTAAGTCGCTTAACTGTAAAATTAAGTAGTATTTTTGTTTAATATTTTCAATAAAAGTAATAGGATATTCAAATAAAATAAATTATTAAAAATCAAAATGTTTTATAACAGCTATATTGTCAACTAAACATAAATGTTACCGTTTTCACTGGCACATGTGCAAAATCTATTTAGTTGGTTTTTGTGTATGCGCACCAACCATACCTAAATTTTGTTTATGGCTGCATGTGCCTTTAAATCTAATAATTTTGGCAGTTATATTGCTTTTACAATAGCTACAACAAGCCCGCGTGTCGACAGTTATATCCTTGCGGAGCCAGCTCTTAAATTCGGCACTCTGCAGCCAAACATCATGTACTCATTTCGAGATTTTTCAAGATGCAAGTTTATCAATTTGTGAAATTCTCCGCCTTAATGATGTAAACCAGGTTGACAGTTCTACCAACGTTCCAACTTCGTGCTTTCCGTCCAATAATGATGCCAACTTCGCTCATTTTGAATCAAGCCTAGGTTATTTATTAATATTAAATAATTGGTAAAAAAGGCAAAAATAATTTAGCTATTAAAATCTGATATTGATGCATTTCATTTTTGGTGTGAAGTTAACCTTTTAAATCTACCCTGTTCCAAATGCAAGGTAATGACTTTCTATAGAGACGCCCTCCAAATAGTTTCTTATAAAGCCATGACTTACCGCCTTACCGAGTCAATAGTACCAGTAATGGGATAATTGTCTAGGGGCCATAAACCTTAATTCGACTATCATGCTACGACTGTAATCAATAAGGCCACAATGGTTTTGGGCTTCATCAAATGATGATTCAAGGGGTGTGACGATCCGTGACGCTTTTTATATCTCTGGTACGATCTGTTCAGGAGTATGCCTATGTGTGTGGTCGCCACAATTTTGATTCAATATGACAGAATTGAACCTGTACAGAAACAATTCTTGCTATTTGCCCTCCAGTAAACTTCTGATGATTGATCTTCCCTCTTTACTTAACCGTAGATTTAGTCATAAGTTAATTAAAGTCGAAATCGACTCCTCTAGGTTGACAAGCCAATTAAACTAATCAGTCCCGTCCAGGCTATCACGTAATTATAAAATTCT